TTTTTATATATATTTATATTTTAAAAAAACTTTAATTTATATTTTAGAAATACGTGTTAAAAAAATCAATAGAAAAACCAAAATATCTATCAATGTCTCATTCGAAAGCCCTCATAAATATGCGTGCCTCATTCGCCACATCAAACGGCATTGTTTTTCTTGACTCTCTCTCTCTCTCTCTCTCTCTCTCTCTCTGTGAAAATGGAAGCAATAGCGGCTGCAATAGCTGTATGGGTTCTTGGTGTTGCTGTATTGACATGTGGATTGGGTTTTATCCATTGGGTTTGGCTGAGGCCGAGGAAGCTCGAAAGGCGCCTGAGGCAACAAGGCTTTTCCGGCAATTCTTACCGATTTTTGTACGGAGACTCCAAAGAGAGCACCAGCATGTCCAGAAAAGCAAGATCCAAACCTATTAGTCTGTCAGATGACATCAGACCGCGTGTCGCCCCCTTCGAGCATCATACTGTTAACAAATACGGTAACAACATATACCCTTCCCTTTCTTCGATTTATCTTACTTGCCTCTGGTGTGATCGGCTCTATTACTTTGTCTTTCGCATAAAAAAAGTGTTTGGTAAGGTTTAAAAAATTATTTTTTTCATAAACCTAACATTCTTACAAGAGAAAAATTTTAAAGTTAAATTTTAAAAATAATTTTTAAATAAATTTTTAAAAAATTACACATAAATTTTTTAAACGTACTTAAAAATATTTCTAAAAGTTAATTTTTAAAGTTTTTAAATAAAATTTAAATTCATGATAAAAAATTTACTTTTAAAAAAATGTTTTTTTTTTTTTAAATATTTTTAAAATTTTGTAAAACACCTTCAAAATATGGTTAGATGATTTTATTGATAAATAGAGAATAAATCTCTGCACAAATCAGTTGTATTTATCTACTTCGTAAAATCATCAAACTAATTTAGATAAAGATGAAATGTTCAAAAAAAAAATCTTTTAGATAAGGATGATGAGCACACTGACAGTAGGACAGAAGAGGGTAATCAATCTGTGGCCAAAAAATATATCTAAGTTGAATTTAAAAAAAAAAAAATACAGGAAGAAATTCGTTCATGTGGGTGGGCCCAATACCGAGGGTGTTCATAATGAACCCAGAACATATAAAGGAGGTACTTAACAAAATGCCTGACTTCCCAAAGCCCAACTCAAACCCAATAGGGAAGTTACTAGCCACAGGAGTTGCAAGTTATGAAGGCGACAAATGGACCAAACATCGAAAGCTTCTCAACCCAGCTTTCCATCAGGAGAAATTGAAGGTTAGTCCTTTTTTTT